CATTATCATACAGGAATTCAATCTTACACTAATAATATTTTAAGTTACTGTTACTCATATTGCCATCAGTCTAGTTTTAGTCCTCAATACCTTTTACCATCCTAGACAATTGCAAACTGATCTTTCTTCTTCCATTCCTTCCTCCCCATTAAGTCCAAGCTACATACTGTTAAAGATTGATCTCCTTAAAGTACAGTACTTTTCCATTTAAGTGTTTTTAATGGCTCCTCATTTATGCAATGTGAAATATAAATTCTTCTACATGGCTTTAAATATCCTTCTTGATTTCTATTTATCTCTCTTTACAATGGAAAAGTATTAACACAATTTTTATGGTCCTACATGATTGTCATTCCTATGGTACCTATGAATTTAAATTGTATAATTTTATAAGATTTCTATCCAAATTGATTTTAAACTCAGAGTTGGTCTTTGTGGTTTCTTTCCACAGAGCTATGCCAATGCCTTGTCCATAGGAGGACCTCATTCATGAATTAATCTCGCTTTAGAATGGCTGTCTCTTAGATCAGTTGGTTTGAATCACATTTTTTAAGAGATTCAGGTCCACTGCATTTTTTGGGGGCAGTGGGTAGGTGATACAGTGTGTAGATATTTGGTTGAGTTGTACACTTGAAACCTGTATGATTTTTTTTAATTTTTTTAATTTATTGACTTCAGAGAGGGAGAGATAGATAGAAACATCAATGATGAGAGAGAATCATTGATCGGCTGCCTCTTGCACTCCCCCTACTGGGGATCGAGCCCACAACCTGGGCATGTGCCCTTGGCTGGAATCGAACCTGGGACCCTTCAGTCTGCAGGCCAACGCTCTATCCATGAGCCAAACCAGCAAGGGCGAAACCTGTATGATTTTGTGAACCAATGGTACCCCAATAAAATAAATAAATAAATAAATAAATAAATAAATAAATAAACAAACAAACAAATAAATAAATGAAAGCGGCTTGACTCACACCCAAAGTTAATGTTACTAAGTCCTTACTGGGTTGGGGCGGGATTATCTAGGCATTTTTTTCATATTAGCTCTAACTCCAATTATAAGGAGACCACTTCGCTTTTGATCATGAATCCTTTTTTTTCTTTGTTGGAGAAACTTTTTAGATATAGATATTTCAATTGTATTTATCTGAAATTGAAGTCAAAACAGAACCTTCTCTTTTTCTATTTGACACTCTCAGTGTCCTGCCCTTAATCAGTATTTCTTTATTTTTCTCTATCTCTGATTTTTCTTACTACTCTCAATATCACCTCTTGCTTGACAAGGTTGACTCAGCCTTGGCAATGCATTGGAAAACAATCACCAGAATCCTGGAATTAAGGAAAGCAGATATAGCCTAGTTCAGAACCATGAACAGAAGCCAAACCTTCCTTTATACAGGCTCAAGGAACTTACTTCTATGAGAACTATCCTGCAGAGTCCTTAGGTGACTAGAGAAGAAAGGGAACAAAGGTCAACATCTCTCCTCTCACACGATCTTTCTTTTCCCTATCCCACCACTGTTTTATACTCTTCTGGTACAGACAAAGCTAGTACCTTGAGACTACAAAGTTAAAAATACATAAAATGGCCTTGAAATCATATTCATCATACAACCAATAAAACTATTATTACAAATGACCAGGGAAGGGTGAACTTATGTCATATGGATAAGGTGTATCATTTTTATTAATAGAGTGGTTCATATTTGGAGAAGGCACTTGTCTGACTTCATTTACTATTAGTTATTAAAGTAATTTCATCAAACTGACTTATCAAATTCTGGGTAGCCATGAGCACGCATCACTCAAACATCCCTCAGAGAAAATCTCCTCAGAGAAGTGTAGCTGGATGACAGCCTTCACCTACAGAATACACTGCAGCATTAACCCAAGGCCACATTCCTCAAGCTGCTCCCAACCAATGATTGAGCATGTGGAAGTAATAGAAATGTGGGACTTCTGCTCAATGTGGGACCTCTCTAACATGCAATCTTCCTCTAGGACTCCTCATAGATTTGACTGGCACTTTCTTGTAACCTCATTTAAAACTTTTCATACCCAGTCCTTCCTTCTCTCTCCCCCTTTTCCTCTCCCAGAGGTCAGACCCATGCCATGGTCCAAAGGCTCTTCATGCCTGCTCTTGCTGTCTCTCTACTTCATCTCTGGGATGTTTCCTCCAAAAAAGCTCTTGTACCTCTCTAACACCATCGTGGTGTGTGCTTCTAGTGTGCCCTTTAGCTTACATATTTAACAAAAGTCACCAAGCTTCTGTAAAACTACTAGTGGATGTAAAATGTTAAATTGAACAATTTCACTGAAACATGCATCCATCCAGTCTTCTCTCTCTTTCGATTTCCTGTTTATCTTTTCTCTCTACATCTCCCAATTCCTTTTCTAGAACCTGTCTAAATTTATTGTGATACATGGGAAAAGTTTGGCAGAATAAATTTTGGCATGTTTTTTTCCAGCAACATTTACAAGAAATATATGAAGAGATCAGCAGAAACCAGAAAACAGCATGGTTAGCTCCATTATCCTATTTCAATGAGTATAGACTATTCTTTCACTGACACTTGAGAAAGGGGAGGGAATGATGACTGTGGATTGGCTCTGAACTGATCAGGAATGTTGAAGGTAAAAGAGTGAACAATAAAATAGTATTGTCAAGAAGAAGCAATGACTCCCTATTTTGAAAGTTTGCTCCAATCTTAGTTTGCCAGGACTGTAGACATTATAATATATAGAAGAATTGTAATAATATTTCATTTTATTAAAAATAATTTTAAAATATGTATGGGGAAGTAAAACAAGAAGCAAATCTTTCTGAAAGAAGTTGTGATTGAAGGCTTTACTTAAGGGAAGGGTATCTTCAAGATTCTTCAAGGGGAAATACAGACTCAGATAATGGCAAATGGTCCTAATGGCCCCTTCCCCATAGCATCAGAATTTTAAACTCCCTTAGAAAGTCCTTGAAATGAACAGTCTCTGAAGAAAACCATGTGGAAAGGATCTATTCAAAAGGCAAAGATAACCTATTTTAGCTAGGCATTTATACAGCTTGCCCTTAACAAAAACATGAATCTAGAGACTAACTCTGTTGCTCTGACAATAAAGTCCATATTCAGACATGAGTTAGGAAAGCAAGTTGTTATGAAATGAAGGATGCCATTGGCAAGGAGGAGTTGCAGGGACTATAAGACCAGAAACTCTATTAGCCTCCAAGATCTTGACATACAACATTTTTTCATAAGTAAATTGAAATTCAACTTAATTATTTTCTATGGTAACCTGTCATTCATTTTGTCAAGTTATCATGTCTAGTAAACTTGGAGAGACAGTTTGTGTGAGATACGGACAAGAGAGTAATCCATTTTTCACTTGAATTTTCTATAGATACTTTATGATAAGCTTTTATGTAAGCTGGTTTTCTTAAATTTAAATCGTTGTGATATAACAGTAAGATTGTGAATAAATTCTTCACATATATAAAGACATAGAAAGGTTTAAGACATAAAAACACCTTAATTACTTTTACTTGAAGAAAAATGGTATATGTTATTTTCCAGGAGCTTTAAACTTAACATTTTATAAGTTCATTTAAGTGGATGTACTTAACAGAATATTCATTTTTGAAGAATAAAAGTATTATAATTATAACTGAAAGTATTTATTTGCCTAAAAACTCCCTAAAATATGCATCTAAATCTTGTTTCTATTTATATTGAATACAAATGTGTTCAAATGTCAACTCTAATAAAACAACTAATCTGTCTGCCTATTCTATGAGTAAGCTTTAGTCCACCCATAACAAATTAACAATTTGTTATATGTTTGCTGCAGTATCATTTACAATAATACCACCTATAAATATCCTTAAAAATCAATAGAAAAATGAACAAATAAATATTACATAAATATTTTAAAATATTTGCATCACTTAGAAATAAGAAAGTGAAAAGTTTCCCAAGACACGCTGTTAGATGGAAAAAATAAAAGGAAGGGAAAAGGAAACCATGAGTTGCAGATACAATATAGCACAGTAAGACTCTGGAACTAGACTAGCAGGGTTTGAATATTGATTTTGTCACTTACTGGCTGTATGAAGGGGAAGTTTGTTTTTTAAAACTATTTTAAACATAGGTGCTCTCATTTGTAAAATGGAAGTCAAAATAACACTTACCTCATAGGGCCATTGTAAGTATCAAACAAGTCATTATACATAAAACAACTGTAAAAGTACCTGCTACAAAGTCAACACTAAACTGGTGCTTGTTTATTTATACACAAAATAGCCTAATTTATGCTAAATATACAGCGATACACAATATAAAACAATTTTCTTTGAGCTTAGATATGTATGCAAGCACACAGAAAAGGTCTGAGAACATAAATGTCAAACTGATACCAATGTATAATTATGAGCATTAAAGGGAATCTTTTATTTTGTTTGCGTATTTTACATATAGAATATAATTCATACATTATTTTGTGATTAAATTTTAAATACTTTTTACCCATCCATTAAATACCACTATAAAAATGTTAGTGGAGATTACATTCATTAACTCATTGACATAGAAAACTGTTTACACACATATCACTAAGTACAAACAAGCAGATCAAAGTTAGTATTAACTGTATGAATATGAGCACATTTAGTAAAATTATGTTTTTATTTGTGTATGTAATGTTAATGTTAATACCTAATCTGGTTAGGTGATTTTGATATAGACTCTTCATATATATATATATATATATATATATATATATATATATATATAATATATATATATATATATATTATATATATATATATAATTATACATATATATTTTTTTAAAAAACACTCTAGGAGCTACTTTATTGTGAAAAAAGAAAGCACAGTGAGGCTATCTAATTATACCACATGCAACATCCTGCATTCAAAATACATATGTTGAGAGCACAGCCAAGTACTACTGATGAAAGGAATACTTTAGGAAGGTTATGAATGTACTTACCCACCAAATGCCTGGAGCGCAGAGAATTTGGAAGCATCCAAATCTTTGCCACTTACTATTCGAGCCTTAAATAAAACATGAGGGGGAAAAAGAAAGAAAGAAAAGAAAACAGACTTTTAGCATACAGTAACTGCATAGAGGGGAATTTGGGACATGGGTCAACTGCACTAGACACATAACACCTGGTATGACAAATGCTAAGCAGGGTCAGCTCCAAGTCAAAGCTACATGTTTTTGTGAGTGGAGGTTTTGAAATGAGCTGTCAGCATTTAAACAAAGGCACTGGCAGAGTCCAGGAAAGTAAATCATATCACAAATACCGTTTGCCCTTAAAACTCAGTATATGCAGTGAAGACCATGGGTCAGTCCAGGAGATCATGATTAGCCAGACTTAAGAACAGATGCTGAGTTTGACCGTAGCAGACCCCTAGGTTGGCAAGTGTAAGCTAAAGAAGCGCAGCTGGCCAGGTGTGACCTCTTCAGAAATGCAACATATCGGGGGCACACTTAAAGGACAACCAAAGGATGGAAAGCTGTGATAACATGCACATTTCACAACTAAAACAGAGGAACCAAAACAGGTCTAATATGTCACAAACAAACATGTACAAAAGACAAGATCCCTCAGCAGGGAAGAAAATGCATGATTTAAAACCTTTTCATCCACAGAACTGCTATCTGAAAGAGAATCAGGAAAAGAAGGGATAAATGTTAGATGGAGTACTTTTCAAGAAATCACTTAAGCATGCACATGAACAAAGTGTTACTATGTTACATTATTTAAAATCATAAGTGAACAGAATTTCAAGGTTGAACTCCAAGGGGAGATGGCTAGTAGGTCCTCATAATTTCAAAGAGTTGAAAAATGTGCCAGAATGCTTGAAAAGTATCACAGGGTGATCACGGGATTTAATGGAAGACAATGTGTCATACAAAGTAAAGAACACAGTTGAAGAATCAGAAGTCCTAGGCTCCGGCTGAGGTTCTGCCACTTACTAAGCACACTGGGCACACCACCAAATTCTCTAGAGTCTATACCTAACTTAAAAGGGCCCCTGATACGATGCCTATTTGCTTCCAAACTTTGCTGAGAGGGTCGACTGAGATCCATATATTCTAAAGTAAACCTCGGACGACTAGATTAATTGAGGATATTTTACTAAGGGGTTATTTATTTATGGACTCTCATATCAGAGAACCTAAAAGCTACAAGAGTAATTAAATACATTCCATTTTGTAAATAAGAAAACTGATGCCAGGAGGGGGTAAGTGATTTGATTAAGATCACAAGGCCAGTAAAGGGCAGAAGTGGGACACAAATCCAAGGCCCCTGGTCCCCCATATGCTGCCCTTAAGGTCCAATGTTTCAGGTGTGTTGAACAGAACAGAGAGGGTTGGCTGGTCCACACTTCTCCAGTGAAATTTTAGATAAACCACAAGGTCAACATTTTTCAGTTTCAACAGTTCAAGGGCCCAAGTAGAGAACTATACACTAATATTTTTTTTTTTTAGAACTCAAGTCTAAATCTTCCAGGCTCATCATGGCATGATCCAATTCCACCTTATAGAGTATTATTGCTCTTAAACTTATTAATTCAGCTTCACTTATTACCATAAAGCTGAAACTACTTCTCTATGAATACAAGTTGACAGAAAGATGGAGCCAGAGTGACCTTGGGTACATGTAGTCCAAACCCCTCATTTTTCTAGATGAACGACAGAGAGAGAAAGGTTTATCCAAGGTCATATAGCTCAGTGATGACTTTTATTGATGACAATCTGAAATCTATTTGTTTTCTTGAATCATTAAGAATAGAATAATTACTGTAACTAAATATTTTGTTCAACTTTTAGAGATTTTACAATATCTCAGGGTTATATCTTTGAAGACAAAACAAGGTAAGCAGAATATAAAGTAATACTAGACCACTTTTATTTATGGCCATAAATATTTTAAAATACTAAATAAAATATCAAAAATAAAATTTATCACTATTTCTGAAAAAGTATCATACCATATAGATTTTATTCCAAGCATGGAATAAAAAATCATGAAATAACTAATGTAATCATGGAATAACTAATGTAATAGTGCATATCAACTGGTCAGAAAATATATATCTGCATTTCAGTAGATCCCAAAAAATCATTTGATAAAATTTCACAACCTTGTGATTTTTAAAAAATATAATTGGAATGAGTTTTTCTTAAGTTTAATATGTTTTTAAAAAATAAAAGTTATTAGAGTCATCAACTTCGTGTGAATTATTAGGGCATTCCTATTATTATTAAAAACAAAACAAAATACCTACTACCATTAATTTTACAGATTTTTGGAAATTCTGACCAACATATTAAAAGATGAAATAGAAAAAAAAACAATATAAGTATTAAAAGACAGGATACAATATTGTTGTTATTTTCAGGAATTACAATTTTAAACCCAGAAAACAAACAAACAAAACCCTGGCCAGCTATTAGGGTTACTAAAATAGTTATAAAAGTGAATATATATAACCAGTTCATAAACAAAATAAAACAATAATAGTATGTTATTTCACACATACTATCAGCAACTAGCTTGAAAAAACAATGACATGAGATATGATTTCAAATATTCAATAGTTGACATCTCCCACTGAAAACTGATTTCTAATCCCAATAACTGGTTTTTATATCAACCATCTCACTAAAATAAGGATAATCCAAATAAAGTCATCAATTATTTTTCAGCATCTGATTCTAATCATACATTCTAGTTCTTTCATTCAATGATTAATTCAATGTTTCATTCATTCACTGAACACATTTTTATTATCAACCAACCCTTTTTGTTCATTTCCACTCTTTTCTTATCTACCTGCGATATTTCCCCCTTGAAACCTTTCTAAAATACAGGCACGTTCACATATCTTCCCTTTTTAAAACCCATCAATGTTATCCAATGCCCACATGAGAGAAAATCAGATTTGTGTATACTGCTGGCTGATGGCTCGTCAGACCTCATTCACAACCTACCTATACTTTTGTCCCAGTTAAATTCTTGCCCTTTCATCTTTATGTCATGCTCTTTGATACCTGTGTGCCTTTGCATTTTCAGTTTCCTTTCCTAAAACAGATACTCCTCCTTTTCAGCTAGCTAATTGCCAGTCAGCCTCCAAAACATAGTTAAAACATAACCCCTCTGTACACTGTACATTCTTCCTCTTGGTTGATTCTTACCCTTTGCCGGTTTTCTTATCTGCAATCCTCCTAGATACAAGCTCCTCGTTTATATTAATGATCTTTTCTTAACTTCTACTACATTTCTGAAATATGGATGACCAATAAATGTTTGCTGAACACTGAACGAACTTTAAATAAGGCACATGACTTCATGGAAGTATCTAAAAATCTGAATCAAGGAAACATTTCATCTTTCTGTACAGGGAGGAAGAATTGCCTTCAAACAGATTTATAGATTTAAGAATTAAAAGCATAATGATAAGTTGTTGCAACTTGAAATTATTTCAAGTGTAACTGAATTAATAAGTAAAAAATCTAAGGCTTTTTAAAATTAGAATTGTGAGGAGAGCATATACTAATATTAAAAATTCATAAAAGCTAAAACTTTATGGACCCAGCAAATAATAGATTAAAAGCTCAGTGAAACACAAAATATAGCTTTGTAATAAACCTTTATACTTAAGAATTCAATGAATAAGAAAGGACATAAGTTATTAAAGAGAAAGAGAAGCACTAGTCAATAAATGATGCTTAGATCATAGGTTAAGTATCTGTAATATTCATTTGTATCTTTATCTCACACATATCCCATGAAGTTCCAGATGTATTAAAAAATTAAATACAAAATAAAGAAAAGCAGTACAACTAGAAAAGAATATTAACCCTATGGAATGTGAAGGTATGTTTTAAACTTAGAGGTAAAAAAGTGATACCAAAAGAAGTTTGATAAATTTGTTATATTCCTTCATTACTTTTGTATATAAAACAATAAAAAATAAAACATGTATTTGCTAATATGTTCAGCATATAAAAAGAACATACATGTCTATAAAAATGACAATACTCCAATAAATAGATGCTTAGGAATGTGACTAGATAATTCACAAATTAGAAGGCAACAAGAGTAAATAAGCATGAAAAAATATCCAATTTATAAAAGAATATCTAATCATGATTATAAAATTAACAGACTTGAATAATGATACTACAAATAATTCCCAAGGCTGTTGATAGTATATTGAACTTGACATTTTGATGCATGGTTGATGACAAAGAAAATGATAATAAAATAGTCATGAACTTTTGGTGATGTCTAGTGATTGTTTTGATGAGGAATTCCTGTTTTGGAAGTTGATGCTAAAGGAATGATTTTTGTTATGGATTGAATTATGTCCCCCAAAATTTATATGTTGAAGGCCTAACCCCCTGGACCTCGGAAAGTGGCTTAGTTAAGATGAGATCTTACTGGAGTAGCCTGGTCCCCAATCCAATATGACAGGTGTCCTTAGAAAAGGGAGAAATTTGGAGATAAATGTACACACAGAAAAATATTAGGTAACGATTGGAATTATGCTGCCACAAGCCAAGGAACTATCTACTGGAAGCTCTGAGAAAGCCCTGGACAGATCCTTCCCTAAAATGTTCAGAGGGAACATTTCCCTGTCAATATGCCTTGATCTGACTTCTAGACTCCAGAACTGTGAGACAATACATTTCTGTTATTCTATGTCACTCAATTTATGGTACCTTGTTACATCATCCCTAGAAAAATAATATAATTTTAAATACTGAAAATAAATGTATGTGTAAAGATCTGTATTGTTTCATAATTTACAATAACATATTGGAAAAAGGTATACGTGAACAAGTATAGACATGGGTTGAAAATTATGCTCTATGGTCTTGATGTAATAATTTGCAACTATTAAATAGATTTAAAAGACTATCAAAAATGTTAAAAATATTTATGGTGTATATACATCTATTATACATGATACATATGCATGTACCCAATACACACACAGGATGGCTTTATTCTCTAATAAATTGCCTTTTATTCTACATTAGTTGTTTTGTTTAGTCAAATTCTGGCTAAACCTCTGAAATGACATACAGAATACTTCCTATCATGCTGCTCCCAATGCTCTTTGTCTTAGAAGTCATATCATCTCACAAGGTCATTTTGTAGTTCAATTACTTAATATCATTAATATAGGACCATAGTATCTCTATCTACTTTATAGTGAAACCTCCTCTATAAATGGGATTAAAACGAGTTAATTTTTTTTAAACTTAGAAAATATTTAGGAGGTGAACATCACTATTCAACCATGCTGCACGAGAACCTACAAAGCTAAAACTCTAACCTTATAGAATTGCACACCATATACATGCATCTCCTGAGGATTAAACCTATCAGAGGTTCTTGTGTTTATATCCCTGAGAAATAAATTTAAATGTGATTTAAGATAACATATGACACCCTTAGCTCTCAGTTTATCACCATATATGAGCAAAATAAGAAAGTTTGAGCAGATTATATCTAAAGCTCCTAGCTCTAAATGCTATGATTTTGTATATATAATGAATTTCAGTATAACAAAAAATATTTGCTAATTACCACCAAAAGTAAATGTCTTAAAGTAACACCTAATGCCTAAATTTGAGATATT